GGTGTAAAAAAGGTATTTACGTGCGAACATACAAGCAGAAACAGTAAAAGGATGGAAACAAAGCTGCAAAATCAAAGGTGCGGCCGTTGCCCTGTGGGTCCTGCAACGAACCTCCCCAACATTTACCCATCCTCATCCCCTCCAAAACATCCAACATACAGCCCGCATCTCTCAAAATTTGCACCTCTCTGGCATAACGCTGACAATGATATCACCCCCAACTGTCTGGGTTGGACACGCATTATAGTTTTTCCGCTTCCATTGGAGAAAGCTGAAAATGGGCTATATCTCAACGGGAATAGTATTTTGACTCTGAAGGAATAAATAATAAGGCTGCGAATTCTTGACATAATTGTGGTAACTCCCGTGCTACTTAAAAACCAAATTCGGTAGTACCTTATCACATAAATATTTAGAATGAAATCACTCGGGTTTTTTTTCAGAGCCCCACTCACTCTGGAATGGGTGAAAGAGATGCCCAAAGTGATGCCAAAACGAGGAGAGCCTATCGCGGTACAACATGACCTGGCCGATGACATGAAGTCAGCCCGCGAGTTGAAGTCAACCCGCGAGTCAAGGTCAACACGCCAGTTGAAGTCAACCAGTGACACGAGGTCAACACGGGAGGCGAAGTCAACGCGCAGCGTGAGGCAAAAGAAGGGCACGGCGCAGCAGCAGCCGCAGCCTGGTCACGAAAAAGTGTCGTATGTGGACGAACTGAGGAAATCTCTGACCACAAGTCTCATCCAGAGATTTCGTTTTCGTCCAAAGAAGAAGAAATTGGCTGCGATGATAGCCAGCTCTGACACCGGTAGCGCCGAGAGCGGAAGCACTGAACCAGTTGCTAGTGACACTGTTTCTGTTGAGCCTGACATGAAAATGGGTGACAAGGCACAGCCCACTCCAGAGAAAAAAGGCAAGGATGAAGCTAAGGAGTCACTTTTCCGGAAAAGGATAATAAGAATTGGGTTGTCCAAAAAGCCACCTCCCATTGCTTCTACGGAATCGGCAACGACGGACAAATCTCCAGAACCATCTAAGGCTACCGAGCAAGCAGCTGCTCAACCGGCAGCACCTTCGGCAAACGGTGCATCAAGTGCTGCTACGACCTCTGCAGGCTCCGCTGAGCAATCTCAAGCACAGACCGAAGGCAGTACTGGATCGACTCAACCGAGTCCTAGTAAAGATCAGGAAGGAACTCTGTTTCAACGACTCAGCATGCGTGTATTGAAAAAGAAGAAAGGTGCCAGTAAACCAGCCGAGGAGAAAACCATCCAAACTGTTGAGGAAAAAGGTCCACCATCTGCAGAAACCATACCATCAAAACCTTCGGAACCATCAACAGTGCCACAGGTTGAACAGAAAGCGGAAGAAAAGAAAGCAGACACAACACCGCAAACAGGTGAAGAGGCTAAAGCCGACAAACGATTACAGCTCCTCGGAAAACTCAAACGTTATAAGAAGAAGGCGACCACCGGCGCAGAGGCCTCGCCGTCGGCGCCGACATGCGAAGCACCAGCACCGCCGCAACCACAAACTGACAGCACTCCCGCTACTTCAACCACGGCACCTTCAGACGTGGAAGAAAGATCTATAAGGAAGCTGCTCCGACGTTTCCTTCCGAAAAAGAAGAAGGATACTGCAGGGACGGAGCAGAAAGCAGCTGAACAGGGAGCTTCTGCAGGAGAACAAGGCGCGAAAAAGGTTGAAGGGCAAAATGAGCCGGCACCCGATCAAAAAGAGACTGGCAAAGCAAAGGAGGGAACCGCGGCTGAACCTAGCGAGGCGAAAACGAAAGAAGTGGATGCGAAAACTGTCGAAAGCGCTGACAAAAAGGGTCCGTCAGACGTAGAAGAAAAATCTGTAAGGAAACTGCTCAGACGTATGCTTTCAAGAAAGAAAACGGTGACTGTAGGATCGGAGCAGAAGGGATCTGACCGTGGAACTTCTGCGGGAGAGCAAAAGGATTCAACCGCTCCAGCTGGTGATCAAAAGGAAACTGTCAAAGCGAAGGAAAAAACTGTGGCTGACTCTAGCGAAGCGAAGACGAAAGAAATTGATGCAAAAGCTACTGAGGGTGATGAGAAGAAGGGCACGAGTACCAGCGAGAAAGGCGCAAGTGCAGACAAAAAGGGTAAGGATGGTTCACTCCCGAAAACCACCGAGGCCAAGGAATCTTCTTCAACTGAACCGAAGACCGAAGAAGCCGCCTCAACTGAGAAAAAGAATAAAGAAGAAGCTGCCGTTTCAACTCCTCCCCCGGAGAAAAAGAGTGGAGAAACTGCTGCGAAAAAGGAAGAGCCAAAACCTCCAGAGCAACCTGTCATTCCAATGAAGTCCAAGATTAGGGCGTTGTGGATGAGGTTCAGAGGGAAAGAATGACCTAGATACTAACTACTCGCAAGATGATACTTGTTGCTCACAAGACATTCTTCACTTCATCTAAGCATTGTTCTAAAACTATTTAACCAGTTCTGCAGAGTAATAAATAGTTTAATTGCAGAAATCTAATGTTATCGCCACTCTATGAACATAATTAATCACTACAAACACGTCATTTGTTCCCTGCTGGACCTTGCGTTAAGTTAGAACGGAACAATTGTAATGCAACCCGCGCTGCTGATATGCGCTACCTGTTATTAGGATATCTTAGTGTCGTTTTTTCACCGCGAGTTTCGGACCACCAATATTTTAATTCAAAATCCAGTGAGTGAAACGGCATATCCATCGAATGACTCATTAGCCCTTTCCCATTTACCAGTATGAGTGAAAACCTCGTACGATTAAAGTTAGGAATTTTTTGAGACGAAAAAGAGAGGTAGGTCGAATTTGACATCATCTGACAAATCATCCCTCTACCTTGCTAAACAGTTGGGCCTGGACAAAATATGTATACATTTAGTTAGAGTAGGGTCTGCACTGTTTGGTGGAAAATTTATTACTTACCAGCTCAACTGGACAATTTTTCCCGGAGTCTTTTTTGCCACATAGGGTCAAAAACGCACCCTTTTTGAGCACACGTGAGTAGCAGATGAGCACATTTATTAGAATTTCTTGGTCAATCAACTTCGTTAGAGCGTCTGTGCACCATCGATCAGTAACTGCTAGGGTGTCCTACCATTCCAGCACAAGACTGGTGCAGCCCCGTTTTGACTGATTTAGCTAGGACCACCTTTGGCGACGGTTGCGGGCATCCCTTCAAAGACTTTACTGTCTTTTAAGAAAACTGTGAAAAACCGATGAGCATTTTAAATGGTAGTATTCCCTCCATCAAATGCAATGCTGGTTTGGTGGGCGGAGGTTACAGCTCTCAGCAAGAATTTTGATGCATTTGGTACACACATGCGAATTTGCACACTGGACCCAGGAATTTTCAGAAGAAAGTATAAAAATTGGGGGAAAGTTAAATTGTGAACCAACAATAGAAGACGGTAAGCAACATATTTCGCAATATTAATGAGCAAAAACTGCCTTCTGGGATATTGATTTTCCATAGTAATCGGCCCCAAAACTTCCTGAACTCAGAAAAGCGACACTAAGATATCTCGTCTAACCATACTGGACGACGTTACCGCCCGATACGTTAAGGAAAGAAACACAGCCGTAGCTATCCTTCCCCGAAAGGGACGCTCTCCACAGCTGAAACAGTTCCCATCACAGACCACCCATTCTCTGTGCTTCTTAGACTCCAGACACCACGACCCCGTAAGAAGCGTGCTGCGGGGAAGGGAACTAACACATCACCACATCATGCGTTACCATGAAGCCTGTCTTCCCCAGCCGTAGATACAAATCAGCGGCAGGGGACGCTCCCTTAGCGTATCAGGCGTTTCGTTGCAACGTCGCACACTGCCATGACCACCTGCCGCTCTTTGGACTTTGCCATTATCTTCATTACATCTCGCGATTCTGTATACATGGGCCAAAAGACAGATCGGGCTCTTGACGGCTTGCTAGCACCCTGAGCCGTGATGTTCCTTTCGAAAGTCTTCGAAAGCTCTAAAACTATGTTAGGAGCACCATAAGCTGTTTGGTACAAAGTTCATGCAAACTCGCAATGAAGATTTTTCTGCATCAAGCGATTCCAAAGCACCCAAGACGTCTCCTGAAATTGCACGTCGAAGGTTTTTTTCTTCTCAATATGGAACTTCAAAACATGCACACTCAGAGGATTGGGCAATCACTCTATAGAGATGCTCACAACGATGAACCGCGTGAGTCATGTCGCTTGATCTAAGACTGCCTCCCCTTTCACAAACTCTTGGGAGCAATAACCACTTTGAAGAATACGCAACGTCTTTCCAGGCTTGGTTTATGGAGGCAGTCCAAAGCATCAAGTGTTAAACATTGCAAAAAAAATCTGCCAAACACCTCACCCGTGCGCCGCATCTCTCTTACGGATTGGGTTAATGAGAAAATTTTCGAACTAAACTTCTTTGCGACCACCAAAGTCAGAGGCAGTTGTTGCCAAAAAGTGAGAGCAAGTCTCCGAGATAACGTCTAGTTTACAACAGACTTTCTCCCGAAGGTGTGGTAGTTTGTGACGGGGTAACATCCAAAAGTGCAGCTCCATTGGAGTTCATCTTCCACAAATGTTAAAATTAACTCGAAGGTCTTGCAAAAGACTTTAATGAGGTACGGTATGTTGTTCTGGATTTACGAGCATTTTGCTCAATGATCGTTTGCTCTTCAATGAAGCTGGGCTCCCTAATACGCGTTCAAATCGACCAAAGCCATCCTGGGCGCTCACTTCCCGGGCCACTGGAGCAAGGAATTGTGACCTTCTTCCTCTCAGGCCCTTAACCCGATGGACTCCTCTATGTGAGGATGTTGTAGAGCAAGACCTAAGACTTCTCCAGCTCGGTGGGTGCTCTGAAGTTAGCGCTTCAGAAGAGGTGGGACGACATCGCCGTTGGCTACCTGCGGCGCACTGCTGATTTTGTCGTTGGACGTCAGAAGGCCTCTCTCAAAGCAGAGTCGTCAAATTCAAAGCACCTTCTGCACAAGTGATCAAATAGCTTAACTCTATCTTTGTTTTTGAAATCTCTTGAGGACTCTTGATGTAAGATTTATTGGTTAGCTTTCGCTGTGATAACAGCTTCTTCAGACCTACAAAACATCAAGCATATTACAATACTTCAAACCTAGGAGACATCAACATAATAAACATTAACTGACCAGGCCGATGCTCTCGCTAATGGGAAACTCTGCAAAGCACAATTCAAGACCTATCAGACTATTGTACAAACCAGGACAACAACGAAACGATGATCACCTCACTCTAGTGCAGTTGCTAATAAAATAAAAATCACTGGGAATGAGCAGTACGTGACTATTTCACAGTACTGGCTTTTATCCACCGTTAACTCAGAAGTCTCATAGCCTCCATGGCCTCCTCTCTGATGTTTATTTCTGGAGACAGTCGCTTGATAGCGAGTGCCTCTAACAATTTTCTTTCCAAGGAGACTTCTTTTGAGCGGTGTAGCACAGTGACTTTTATTGAAGGAGGCGGTTCTTGTCCATGGTAAATCGTGCGATGTCGTGCAAAACCGTTGTTTGGGTAAGACGAAGGATTTCGCAACGCTCGCATATGTTCATCAATCCTTCTGTACAATGGTCTCATCGTCTCTCCCACATACTTCTGACCACACGCTTCACATGTGACCAAATAAACGGTCCCTCGTAACTGGCAGATCTTTGTTTCCGTGCAATACGAGCAGTGATTCCGACCGCATTTTTATATTTTATTTTTTTATTTTTTTATATTTTGTTTTACATCTTATATTTTATTTTCCATTCTTAATGATTTTATTTCCATAATATCCATCTTTGTGTGGAATTGATTTCCTGATCGAGTCTCTTTCTTGGCTTTTGCACACAAAAACGTGGCTTTCTTTTCAGCCACCCTTTATTTGTTGTCACGTCCCATCGAACTCCTAGGCTTGTGTTATCGCCTCGGTCTATCTTTGGTTGTTCTGGATTTCAAGGTCATTGTTCGTGTCCACAATCTTAAGCAGTGAAACGATGAAAATATTATCGTACCGCAGTCTCGAAAATCCCAGGTTGTAGCCAAAGGAAATCTGAAATCTCTGTTAGGGCTCGCATGTTTGGGCCGCAAGACGCTGCCCTTTCTCTTCCCCTTCGACCATTTCCCATGCCCGCCCTCCCTCGCCCACAATATATACAGTGCGTATCATAAGTATAGACGCACCCCTGAAAGTACCACAGCTGACTTCATAGAAGTTCCCGACAAACAGGCTTATCACCATCTGAATCAGCATGCACGAAAACCTATGTTTACCAGCTTCCACGTGAATTGGAAGGAATTCGGCTTTTTCCAACAGGTGAACATTATTTTGCCTGTATCAAAAGTATAGACGCACTCCATTAACTTGGTTAAAATAATAGGCTACACATGACAACTTTCCATTCCAGCAAACAAATAACTAGGGAATGAGTACTCTGCACAATATCGAAGAATGCCACGAGGTCCACATTCGTTAGAAGCCGAGTAGGTACAGGTTCGCGCCCTGTACACAGCATACCTAAGCAATTGTCGAAATGCTGAACAACTGCAGCGTTCATCAAGGTCTATCGACCGATTTCTACATGACCCAGGATACTGCGGGAGAAAAGAAGAGTTCTGGGAGGCCGAAGAAGCTAACTCCACAGCAGGAACGTGCGATTAGACGCCTCGTTTCCAAGTCGACTATCAGCATCAGTGGAGTTCGCGCCACCCTACCGGGTCCCTTGTCCAGAATGACGATATGGAGGGCCATCAGGTGCAACAACAACATAGACAGATGTCGTCTCCGCCCAGCTCTTCCACTTACCGACGCCTACAAGGAGGCGGCCCCAGTTTGCCAGAAAGAACATGGCAACAAATTGATCGAAGATACGCGTCCTCCTCATAAAGCTCTCTGAGTTGAAATTTCCTGTTAGGTCATATTTTCTGACGAGAAATAGTTCAACTTGGATGGCTCAGATGGAAATGCGTTCTACTTGGGAGATCTCCGCAAGGAACTGAAGTACCTCAGTAGACGTGATTTCGGTGGAGGTAGCGTGATAGTTTGGTAGGATTCCGTCGGAACTGGAAGCTTGAGATCGCCTTCACCTCCACTCATATGGACTCGTCGGACTACCAGGACGTGCTACGTCGTCATCTACTACCTTTTCTGGCACGTCCCGAAGAAGGAGAATTCGTTTTCCAACAAGACAACGTGGCGACCCACGAGAGCAGGTCCACAAAATCATGGTTAGAGGAGCGAAATATAGTCGCCATGGACTATCCTGATAATTATTCATAGAGAGCATCTGGGGCATCTTAGTCGGAGATGTTTACCACCAGGGAACAACTTCTGATAGAGTGAGAGATCTCAAGA